AAAAACAAAAAAAAATCGTTAAAATCGGACAATAAGGAGCAAAGATATGGTCTCCGGTTTTTTTTAATATGTTCTACTCCAAATGTTATATCCTTGGTTTGGTTTTTAAATTTTGAATACTTACTAGATAAACGCTGTAACCTCCCAGTCAATTACAAAAGCCTCATATACATGACTACAATAAGACCTATTTGGACTTACGGAGTTGAGCTCTGGGGCTCCACTAAGCCATCGAATTCCTCTCGTATTCAATCCTTACAATCCAAAATCCTTCGTAAAATTCTCACTGCTCCTTACTTTGTCACAAACAAAATCATCCATAACGACCTTAATGTTCCTTATGTTTCTGACTTGGCCCAATGCAGATACCTATCCTTCCATAACAAACTTCAGAACCATCTAAACCCTCTCGTTTCTAACCTTGCTTCCTCTTCGATCCCTGACAACCCTCAGAGGCGTCTGAAAACAAGATGGCCTCGAGATCTCCTTTTGTAAATACATTTTTAGAGTGCTACCAATGGGTAGTTTCATGCTATTTTATTCCTTTGTTCACATTTACTGAATGTATTTTTACTTTTAATACAGTTGTAAATATCACCAATAAAAAAAAAAAAAATTTTGAATGTGTTACTGAACTAATGCTATTTTGTTTAGCATATTACTAATGATTAAAAAAAAAAGTTTAGTCCAATAATTGGAATCACCTTTTGTTTATTTGTCTTTGTAATTCGGAAGGTAATGTTACTTTAGATGTATAATTGTTTGGAAATCATAAACCGTTGTGAAATAATTTGCAGCGTTTTTTTTGTTTTTGTTTTTATGTAGGAAATTCTGTAATATTTCAAAATCACGTGTGCCATCAACAATAAAATGTGTAATTTTTGAATTTTTCGCCAAAATTTGTTCTCCGTTATAACTTTTTTCTCTGGACTTTTTGTGGAATGTTGATTATTTTTCCCACCTGAAGAAGAATATATTCAAAATGAGTCCACAACCATTGCATTTGAAGAAGAATTAATAAAGATATGGCGAACCAATAAAAAAAAAAACTTTAAAAACAATATAAAGTATATTCTGTTGGCATTACAGACCATGTATCAACAAACTTGTTCCATGTCTGCCTCTCTTGGGCATCTATATTGATTCTATCTATCCATCTGCTTTTTGCCGTACCCTTGCTTTACCTTTCCACATGCCTTTTTCCTCCACGAGTTCACCGCGAGATGTGATCTTTCAGTAGTAAGTTAAAATTAATACGTTCGTATTTGAGGGCAACAACGGGTCAAGAAATACTGCTTTTTGCCTTCCACGTGGTCTTTCCTGTTTGAGGCGTTCATTGTTATGTAGAGGCTTCTAGGTGGATTGCTGCGAGCTATATGCCCCGCCCATCTTAACCCCCGTGCCTTCATACCATGGAATAATGATTGACCAGTTTCTGTTAGCAGTTCGTTATCGGCCTTTCTTCTCCATGTGTTAGTACTCTGATCTCTGATCGCTCCAGTTATCGTGCAAAGGATTTTTCTCTCAAATCTTTCAAAACTTATTTCTAGGGCGCTTGTTATTGTCCAGGTCTCACAGCCATATATTAGAACTGGCTTTATCGTAGCATTGTACACCCTTAATTTGTGATTATTCAGGATTTCAATACCTTTGAGAGGGAGAAGAAATCTCCTTGGGACCGGTTATACGCTGATCTATTTTTGCCCGTTGGTCATTCATTGAAGTTATTGTGGAGCCAAGCTATTTGAACTTTTCTACTCTCGGGAATTATTTTCCTTTTACGCAGATTCTGTTTTGGGGTGGAATTTTCGACATATCATCATATTCTTTGTTTTGCTTTCATTTACTTGTAGGCCTGTCTGCTCTGCCTCTCTTATCAGAGTCTTAGCGCATTTCTCAATGCCCTCTTGATTACTTCCAAGGACAGCTATATCATCTGCGTATCCAAGGATTTTATGATTCATTCCGACCTGGATCCTTTCATTTCCTTTGATGTTACTCTTATTACCTTCTCCAGAGTTAAGTTGAACAACATAGATGATAGTCCATCTCCCTGCCGTAAGCCCGTTCCAACTTTGAAGGCTTCAGATACTTCTCCTTGTGTAGTAGGATCATTTGTACACGCCTTTGTCAATCTCACCAACTTACCGAGGACTCCCAGTTCAGTCATGATTTTCCAAAGACAGCTCCTGTCCACAGAATCATAGGCTGCTTTGAAATCGACAAATAGGGCGTGGACGTCCTGAGCTACTTTCCATCGTTTTTTCGAGTACTTGTTTTAGGATGAAGATCTGGTGGTCGCCAATTATATTCTCGTAATACGGATATATGCGGTTTAGTAGATATTAGTCATTATCTTGTAGGCAAAAGGAAGGAGTGTTGTGCCTCTGTAATTACTACACTCATACATGGAGCCATTCTTTAGTATAGGACAGATTAGGCCCGTATTCCAAGCGTCTGGTATCCTTTCCTCTTCCCATATTTTCTAGATTAGTTGTAGTACCTTAGCTCTTAAGTCGTCTCCTCCATCTTTAAACAGCTCTGATGGTAGGTTATCTATCCCTGGGTCCTTTCTTGTTTTGAGCCTTTCGATAGCTATTTCTACATCCAGTATATCTGGTTTTTCAACCTCTTCTGGGACAAGGTCCTCAGTGTGGTCCATGTCTTCTTAGTTCGTGGGGGTACCCTCGATTGAGAATGTACTGAAAATATTCTGTTTAGATCTTCAATATACTTTCTTTATATACCGCCAAAATGCCATATTTTCCTCGCATTTGCGTATTTCTCGTTTTATTCTCTATCTTTTCTTTCCTAACGTCTGCGTAGAATTCGCGTTTATATCCAGCCTGCCAGTTGTCCTCAATGTTTTGCAATCATACTTTGAGGAATTCCGTTTTCTCCAATCTTCTAGTTTTGTTTGTCCTTTTCTTGGCAGCTGTGCACTTGTCCTGAGCGACTTGACCAACAGAGCACTTTTTTCTTCTTTTCTCTACTGCCTTTTTGCATGCTTCTGTGAACGACTTCTTAGTTTTTCGTTTCTCTTGAATACTGATAACTTGAATGGTCCACCATGAGGCTATCCGAATCCAAAGCTTCGAATTTATTTTTCACCTCAAGTTGGTATTTGTTTATACTTCAGGATTTTTCAAATTACCGACTTCATACCTCCTTCTTTCCACTCGATTCCCTGTTGTGTGAATTCGCTTCAATCGCTGACATACTTTCAATCACAGACTGCTCCACAATAGCTTCTTAAATCTTGTATTGAGCTCGGATGGCTCTTGCCTACCAGCGCATGGTCAATTTGGTTTTTTCGCTCCTTTGGGGCTAACCCAAATGTACTTGTGGATATTCTTGTGTAGGAGCTTTGTACTGCTGACGATTAGCCCTTTAACTGCTGCTAGATGCTGAGACTGATAGATCTCACTCCGTTGTCATTTCCATTTTCGTGAAGGGTTTGGCCTTCGATGAATGGCCTGAATTGGACTTAGCGTCCTATCTTTGCATTGACTAATTTTATGTCATGGCTATGAGCTTGTCCCAAATATTTTCCAACTGAACGTAGAAATCATCCTTTACCTCTTCATCTTTATCTCCGATTGGTGCATACTCATTAGTTATCGTGATATCAAACCAACGACCTTTAACGAAGTGAAGTTTATGAATGATTCTCTCCGCTGGACTAACTATAAATCCTGTACTGGCAGTTTTATTGTTTCTCCCGGATTAGAATAGTTGCTGTCCGAAGATAATGGTTTAGCCACCATCTCGTCATCTTACCTCTTAATGGGTGTTACCGGTATGTTATACCTTTTTAGCTCCTTGAGTACCGATTTTGCGGCTCCTGGTCTGTATCAACTACGTACGTTCCAAGATCCAATGTATAGTCCGTGATTCAAAGGTCGTCTTCATGTTTAGACAGCCCAATTTTCTGAGGCTTGGTTTAGGTTTCGTAATAAGTTGTTTTTTTCCGGAATGGGGTTATTTGCCCTATGCCCAACCCCCATCTTGATGATCAGAAACTATGGTGTAAGAAACAGGGGACACTCACCTCCTTGTGAATCTCTGGGTGGGGACGTTACCGTCCCTATGCGGGAATCGAACCCAGGCCGTAGCGGTCCAAGATAATTTAGAACGTCTGTCAACTAACCTGTAAAAAAAGACCGTATCGTCTGTTTAATTCCATTCGTTTTTGCCTCCAAGGTAGTCTTTTGACTAGGTAAAAACCGAAATATTTAATTACATCTGATACTGGGGTTTCAATATTATTAAAATATATTTCAGGGGAAGAGGTATGGTTAATAGTGAATACCACATACAAACTATTATTTTTTTTCATTCATTTTAATTTTCCACCTTGTGCCCTAATCAGCAATATCGTTCAGATGGTTTTGAAGAGTGGTGGGGCTCCAACAGGGTTTTTGTCTGAGCTGAGGATTGCGGTATAGTTCGCAAAAATAGCAAGTAGAGTGTCATTGTGTGCCGGTAGGTCTGACATATCTATATATATTAAACAATATTGGTTCGAGGACATTACCATGAAAGTCTCCTGCTTTAATAGATTTGATGTCAGAATGTTTTGCATCTACTTTTACTACAAAAATTCTGTCTGTTAATTATGAGAGTATCATTAAATAATAGATCGGAGGATGTATATGACAACTCAAGAATTCATAACTTTCGTTCTCCTCAATATTTTGTTTTCATTTAAAGCTTATATTTTAAGTTGAGAAAATCTCAATATAATATCAAAATTTCAAAAGTCTACCATTAGCCATGAGCCGATCTTATCGCTAACAAAATTTCGTTGGATAAAGCGAACATCCAGACATACAAAAATTTTTTTTGGTTTCTGTAATGTATAAAACGGAAAGATATGAACCACGTTGATTCTATTCAATGTACAGACAAAATCTTTATTTTAATTATGTAGATATCCATATTAGGTATATATTTTTTTCACCAATCATGTCATTTTATGCTGCGCTCAGTATTTGATAATGTGCTTTGAGGTTATGTTGAATGGCTAGATTGCTTTCGAGTGAATCTTTCTGTGTAAAATTCAATATGAGTGAACTTATTATTCAATATGAATGAACTTATTATACAATATGAGTGAAATTAGTATTCAATATGAATGAACTTATTATTCAATATGAGTGAACTTATTATTCAATATGAATGAACTTATTATACAATATGAGTGAACTTATTATTCAATATGAATGAACTTATTATACAATATGAGTGAAATTAGTATTCAATATGAATGAACTTATTATTTACATTGAATTGAATCTTGTTGCAGCTCTGTATCCTCGCCGCCATTGTGGCAGCCGCCCAGGCCGGAGTCATCGCCCCATTCGCCCCCAGGGCCTATGCTGCCCCCGCCTACGCTTCTCCCGCCTATGCCCCAGCTCAATACGCCTACGCCGCAAAGGTCGCCGCACCAGTAGCAGTTGCCGCCCCACTCGCCGCAAAGGCCGCAGTTGTCGACGAATACGACCCCAACCCACAGTACTCCTACGCCTACGATGTCCAGGACGCCCTCACCGGCGACTCCAAGAGCCAGCACGAAGCCCGCAGCGGCGACGTCGTCCAAGGAAGCTACTCGCTGACAGAACCCGACGGCTCCAGGAGGACCGTGGAGTACACCGCTGACCCAGTGAACGGATTCAACGCAGTCGTCCACAAGGAACCCCTCGTCGCCGCGAAGGCTGTCGCTGCCGCCCCCTTGGCCTACGCCGCCCCGCACGGATACGCCGCCCCAGTCGCCAAGATCTACCACTAAGCGCCATCGACTTCTGTAAATATTTGCCTCTCTGTACCTCGCGTGATATTCATGTTGTGAATTCTAGTTTTAATATTTAAATAAATTAATTTTTATTTTATTTATTCTCTAATATTTATTACAATTCCTACTTATAATGACCAGTAATAAGGAAAACATTCTCCATGTAAGTACCAGTACAATTATCAAACAAAGAAAACAAGACCCTGTGTTTCTGAAAATTATACTCATTTCCACAGTACTAAACCTTTTGAACGTTACTTTCTTGCCCGCTCAACAGCGTTTTCCACAACCATCTGATACCCTTCATATTAATATGACACTCCTTTCTTCTCATTCAAATACTTTCTTTTCCATTACCTTCTTATATCCCGACAGACGTCTACAACTCTAAAATCAATGGTGCCCAAAACGGGCACTAAGGTAAGTTATGTCGCAAGTTGCAACATGAAACTTTTTGAGAGGGGGACTTTTGACGGGGTCATGGATTTTTTTTGGAGAGGATACATATTTAAGAGGTTATAAATTTTTAAAGGTGACCATATAGAGAATTCAATTGAAGTGAACTTTGAAAGCAAAGAAAAAAAAATTAAACTATAATTTTAATTTTAATTTCCTCCACTGGCTTTAGTACCAGTGACGCGGTTGGGAGAGTAGCGCAGGGTTCTCCTTGAGTTCCCTCGCCTGATTGTATATAGGTATCCATCTGTTTTTTTTTTCTTAGTTTTAATTTTCTTATTTTTTTAGGTTATTTTATTTTATTATTTATTGTATATACTTTTTATTATTATTTTACTTCTATTTATTTTATTTTTTTGTACATATGGTGTGAATGTTATCCTACCTCACTATAACCAATGTCCAAGAGACAGATTGTAGTATTCAATAAATAAAACAATATATAAAAAAAAATTTAATTTCATTTTCTTGTGCACATTTTTTAAGAAAAGGAGAGAAATAAATTTTAATTTCAAGAGGTGGACATACGCCATCGATTTTGGGTAGATGGGTACCCCTGTTTAAAATTATTTTTTAAGAATGGTATTTTGATAGAATTGATTGGTCGATTTTATTGTATTAACTTATAGTATAAATTCATATTGTTTCTATCCTTTTTTTTTTTAGCTTTTAGGCCAAATATATCTATCATCGACCTAAATGTTTTCGGTCGAACAAGCAGATTTTCGATATTAAAGAAATAAAGATCCAGATGAAAGAACCAGGATGACAATGGCAAATGGTTGTCGTTGAGTCAATGTACTAGGAGAGTACGGCTTAGAAAGGTTCAGATTATTCAGATGACATGTTAATATCGTCTAAATCAAAAGCAGTTTTTAAAAAACTAGGTTTTCATTTCAAAACTATTTACGTTCAATAATTTCCAATTTCCCGTCGTATAAACTAGACCAAATTCCCTTCACCAGAGAGTAATAATATGAAATATAAATTATAAATAATAGCTCATTATAAAGAGGATGAAATGCTGAACACTTCCCACGCTTACAGTATGCAGGTCCGATTTTTATTTTCTGAGATATTTTAATCCATATCTTCAATAAAACTCGTTATCATTATTCTTTTTATTAGTTTTCGATATTATTTTTCCTTTTCGCCTCTCTATCACGGCACACAGTGGGACGAGTAAGGCAAAACTCACGACAACGGCTAATTTTTTTTATTTCTTTTTGGAACTCCAAAAATTGGATAAACTGTTTTATTGATACCTTCTGGAATTCGAGAGAATGTTTTCAGTTGGCTGACAAACTTAATATTCCTTACTAAAATTGACGTTTAAAATAAACAAACGTACTGATTACTTCAATTATTTTCATTAAAACGTAAATATTAGGGCTAGAAACATTAACTTTGTCATTGATAAATACTTATCAATTCTTATAACAGAAATCCGGGAGAAAAGCACAATTTCGTAACCATTTCAGATAAAAAATATTTGAAAAATTATTATTTTTAATTTTAATTTTTATAAATAAAATGTGTTTTTAGGCAATCATGTTTATTACAATAAATCCCATATTCCAGAAAAACAAGAAATAAAAGCTTTGCAACAGTTGATTGTAGACACAGACCGATCTACGAAGGGGAGGGGGCTTTCGGGCTTTAGCCCCCCTCTTCCCTCAAATGGCAAAATGTAACCATGTTTTACAGAAAAAGGTATTAAAAACTATCTCTTAAAGTATTCTTGTTGGTTTAATTACATTTAATAGGACTTTAAGAACCACTTAAATACCATTTGATTTAGGTAGTTAATTTATTTCTTCTTTTTTCTAATTAATTATTGTTATATGTAGATGAATAAAATCTTTCGGGCTGAAGCCCCCCCCAAAATTAAATCCTGAATCCGCTAGTGCACAGACGGATCTACGAAGGGGAGTGGGCTTTCGGGCTTTAGCACTCCTCTCCCTCTTCCCTCAAATGGCAAAATGTAACCATGTTTTATGGAAAAAATATTAAAAAATTATCTCTTAACGTATTATTGTTCGTGAAATTACATTTAATAGGACTTCAAGAATCACTTAAACACCATTTTATATAGGTAGTTAGTGTCTTCCTTTTTTTTCGTCCAAAGTAATTATCGTTATAAAGGAAGGAAATGGTCCGAGGTGGCGGTCATAAACAGGTTAAATAGTGGCAAAACTATTTTATTAAAAGTTACAACCAACTATTTATTGGTTCCATGTGAAACTCCTAGCTGAGCACACCTCCCTGAAGAAGACCTGCAAAGTCGGGTCGAAACGTTGCTTTTTTTTTTGTTTTTTTAACTTATTTATTGAAAAATATTACAATCTGTCTCAAGGACATTTATAATAGTGCTCAGAGATCACATTCATACTCTATGTACAATAAATAAAATAAAATTATACAGAAAAATAATATATATACAATAAATAAGAACAAAACAACCCAAAAACAAATAAATAAAAAGAACACATACATACCTACTTTTAATAAAATAGTTTTGCCACTCTTTAGCCTTTTTATGACCGCCACCCCGAATCATCTCCTTTCTTTATAATGCAACGGTCAACTATTAATTATTCAATATGATTCATCCCCTGGTTTTCCAGTTCTAAGTGAAACTCGTAGCTGAACACACCTTCCTGAAGAAGGTCTGCAAAGTCGGGTCGAAACGTCGGCTGTTAATAAAATAGTTTTGGCACTATTTATCCTATTTATGACCGCCATCCCGGACCATCTCCTTCCTTTATAATGCAACGGTCAAAGTACTCAATAATTATCGTCATATACATGAAAAAAAAAAAATCTTTCGGGCTGAAGCCCCCAAAATTAAAAACACAGGTTCTTTGGAGTGACTGAGGAGGACGTCCGCCGACAGACTGGGACAAGGAGATGAAGAAGACCTGCGGGGGAGCAGCCTGGAAGAGAGTAGCATTAGAGAGGAAAGAATGGAAAAGGATGGGACAGGTTCATTACCTAGTGTGGTTACAAGAAAGTTAAGTAAAAAAAAAAAAAAGAAATCGAACTCAAAACCTCAACTAAGTTGATTTTGTACATATAAGAGATTTTGTATATTTTTATCCATTGTTTTTTCATTGTATGCACAAATAAAGGTTATTATTATTATTATTGTTCTTTGGAGTGACTGGATAGGATATCAAATAATTTCTTTAGACAACTTGAGGTGAATCTCAAAATTTGTCCTAATAAACCTCAATTTAATTAATATGGACTTGAAGCTTATTAAAGGAGGAAGTTTTTTTATAAATGGAGTAAACATAGTACAGTTAAAAAGTGATGAAACAAATAGTTTTAAAAATGACTATGCGTTCATGTAAAGTAAATTGTCTAGTTTGTTATGGAGCAATTTTTAGTTTCTTAAATCAAATATTTTTTATGTTATCGCTTTCTATTCAACAAAAAACGTGACCCGCTTAAAAAAACAGAAAGCTTGAATATCCTACCTTTCTGTTGAAAATAGAGTATCTTGATGTCTACTATTAACTATTTAAACACTGCTCACGGAACACCAAGTACACTGAGAAACAAAGCCATTTCCAATCCATCTCTCGTCAGTCGACTTTAGCTTTTTTCTTTCATGTTCGGATTACCAGGAGTATAATATAATAAAGAGTTCGGATTAACAAGGCCATCCTGAAATTGCATTTAAGAGTTCTCCTCTATTTCCTAGTCTATTTTCTCAACAACAAACTATACGTTTTCTCATCAAATTCATTCCTTAAAAAAAATTGAAAGCTCAAAAATGCGAGTATTGTTAGAGAGTATGTCGTAACAGAACACGATGGTCGAGAGCAAACAGAATACCAAAATGGCTCTTATGCATTGTCGTCCCACGGGATGGCTTGTTAAGTATTCTCCAGCTCAACATGGCCTACTTTTAGGTTCAAAACAAACAGTAACCTAGGACCAATGGATTTGCAATAACTTGTCCAATCATCGAGAAAGATATGAGCCGTTTTCTTAAAAAGTGGTGTGAATCTATTTCATATTATATGAAGGCAGGTATGTTCAGTTGTCAGAACTCATATAGATAGCTGCCTTTCTCCATAATGCATTCGACTGATCCCTTTCGAGCGCTATCAGTAGAAAGGGATATCGAAGGCCCAATATATCGATATTAATATCTGCCTATAACTATCGATACCATCAAAATATCGGACTTGAAATACCGATAATTGATATTATAAACATTTCTGAAATGTGAATATCAATATAAATATTGAATATTTAATAATTGACCGTTGCATTATAAAGGAAGGAGATGGTCCGGGGTGGCGGTCATAAATAGGCTAAATAGTGGTAAAATTATTTTATTAAAAGCCAACGTTTTGACCCGACTTCTTGCAGACCTTCTTCAGGGAGGTGTGTTCAGCTAGGAGTTTCACTTAGAACTGGAAAACCAGGGGGTGAATCATATTGCATATTTAATAGTTGACCGTTGCATTATAAAGGATGGAGATGATCCGGAGTGACGGTCATAAATAGGCTAAATAGTGGTAAAACTATTTTATTGAAAGCCGACGTTTCGGCCCGACTTTGCAGGTCTTCTTCAGGGCTAGAAGATACAAAAAGATAGATAATTGTGGCAGTTACATAATATTTAGACAAAATTTATAAACAATTTGAATAAGCTAATTGAAATTATAAACAGTAAGTACATTAAAATATGAACAAAGTAACTTTTTGTATCAAGTCCGTTCTAGCCCTGAAGAAGACCTGCAAAGCCGAGTCGAAATGTCGGCTTTCAATAAAATAGTTTTACCACTATTTAGCCTATTTATGACCGCCACACCGGACCATCTCCTTCCATTTTCATTAATTAATTTAAAGAGGAAAATGATATATTTTTTAGGCCCTATGTGATAGAAAATCAATATTTATTTTGATGTTCATAATTAAAAAATAAGTAAATTTCGACTATCAACATTTTATGTCCGATGCTAATATAACACTGTATATTTGGTCTTCGATTCCTCCCTAGATGGAGCCTCACTGCTTGAGAGAAAAATATAAAACACATGTGTGTGTAATAAAACACATTTATTACATTAAGATACAAATACATTTCATTCGATATTATCTGAAGTGCGTACGAGACTATAGAGCTAACATATTCTTCTCCATTAACCTGTTCAATATATTTTTATTTTGTCTAAAACTATCATAAATAGAATATTTTAATTTTGAAAGCATAAACATAATTATAAGGATCCCATGGCAACCATAGTACTTCAAATGTCTGCCTCTAAATCTATATAAATAAAATAAAGATTTTGTCTGTACATTGAATAGAATCAACCCGTTTTATGATATCTTTCCGTTTCATACATTGAAGACACTAAATCCACTTCGAAAAATATTTTTGTCTGTCTGTATGTTCGCATTGCAAATAAATTGTTTCAGGACTAGCAATAACTTATTGTAGACTTTTGGAAGTTTGACATTATATTAAGGTTTGCTTGACTTAAAACATAGGTTTCAAATGAAAAATAAATATTGAGTAGAACCAAAGTTATGAATTCTTGAGTAATTTTTCTAGAGATCTCTGTTAATGTTGATAATAAACATCTGTTTATAGATTAAAGATCATCTATATAAATAAAATAAAGGTTCTGTCTGTATATTGAATAGAATCAATCCGTTTCATGATATCTTTCCGTTCCGTACATTACAGACACCAAATTCACTTTTTAAAGATTTTTTGTCTTTCTGGATGTGCGCATTGTCCAACGAAATTTTTTCAGAGGTAAGTTCAACAATGGCTGATGGTAGACTTTTGACATTATATTTAGGTTTGTTTGGCTTTAAACATATCCTTTTAAATGTAAACAGATTCTCATTCCAACCTACTCTACCGCAAGCCACATTTGAAAGGTATACTATTCGATGGAAAAAATTATCACAACTCAACGGGAAAAATCCGAAATCCCTAACATCTGTAACGCGTTTTCGCTTAAAACATGTGTAAAACACACTCATTTTTCAACTCTGTCCGATCTTCCCTTTCAAGGTGCCATTCGATTCACCTTCCCTAGTCTAACAAATGTATACATTTTTAGGATTAACCAAATCTATTAGCCGAAAATCGGAAGAAAAACTCCTCAAAATTAAAAAGTAACCCCTTCTCCATCCAATATTATGAAATTAAATTTGGATCTCCCCGATAATACAATATCCATTCCAAAAAAAGATTCTCAAATATTAACTATACACCCGTCAAAGATGGGCACATCAGCTGGTAAGGAATAAATTAACAAAAACTCCTCATAGGTTTTTATATTTTATCTCCATTTTTAGTTTGTTTGCGAAGGTCCTGTCGATGTCATTTTGTGTAGTTTATGTGGCTCTAAATTTCCGCTAAATTTCTTGTAGATAGCAAAAGTGATATTGAAGTTATAACATTTTTTTTGTGATTTTCGATAAATAAAAATCATGTGAGGAATCCAAACATTAAGCCTAGAAACGTAGCCGGGCTTGTCTTTAATAAAACAATGGGTCTGACCTAACAACGCCACCAAACCTGCAATGCGCATGCGAAAATAGTTCAGGACTGCTTGTTGGAATATACCCAATTTATTTTCTATCGTTTCCGTCGACTTTTGAAACCATCTGATTTTTTAAAAGCTAAATAATTATTTTGATCTATATATTCATTAACATAAATGACTCGAGGAGGAATTTCAGTTTTTCTGTAAACCTTTTCGATCAAGACTTTCTTTAGTTGTGCAATATTAGCTCCTTCTTTCATCTGTATATACTTCAATTCTTTTTAAACAGATCGAATTTCTAATCATACACAAAGTATTTACAGTATTTCACTTTTTAAAAAGTTCTTGTTTCATTTAATTTTAAAAAATATATTCATTTCTTAAAATTAATGGTGGTATAGGGACCACCTGCATATATCGTAGTTGGCCAATATTGCGTCAGCAACTCCTCGAATGGGAGACCTGGCATTTGAACAGCTCACTACGATAGAGAACCCTCATTTTGTGACCTTACTCTTTAATAATGAAGAATAATTGTAGGCACATATGTTATAATATCGATACTGGTTAATAAATGATACTTTCTATATTTAGTTACTTATAATATATATCTGTAAATAATATTCATAAATTTATGAAATCCCTTACTAATAATTATAAGTGATGATGGGCAAATGATAAATCATTAATAACAAGTTGATGATGCCTGAATTGGTACTGTACAGGTTAACTGTACACCTGTATGTTGAAGAATCATGGCTTTTGGTTATTTTCAATAATGAAACATTGTGATCGACCAAAAAATTCAAAAACATATCCCCATCTCAAAATTTGAGGTTTCACGTTTCAAGACGCGTAGAATTCGAAAAACGAATAAAAATTTTTTTGTCCGTCCGCCGTCCGCGCATTTTCTCCGAAACTACTTCACCGATTTTTTTCAAATTTTGATATATAATCAGAGGTCACCCGAGGATGATCCTCCTTCATCGGCATTACTCTCCGCCTTTAACTTTCAAAATGGCAGCCGAAAAACCTGCGTTGCTATAGACTGTAGCTCCTAAACGAATGTACAGATTTCAATGAAACTTTTCTAAAGTCATTTTCTCGACGACCTTTAAATTTATCTATATAACATACTTCAACGAAAAGAAGCTGGAAAAAAATTACGAGGGATGGTAATATTAAATTCCGAATAACTCGAAAAGTACACACTTATTTGTCGATATTGTATTTTATGTTTTTTTTAAGTTTGCGGAATTTCTTAAAAAAAAAAAAAAAAGATAATCGTTAAAATGGGATAATTAGGAGCAAAGATATGGTCTCCAGTTTTTTTTCTAATATGTTCTACTCCAAATGTTATATCCTTTGTTTAGTTTTTAAATTTTGGATGTGTTACTGAAGTAATGCTATCATTTTTTTTTAGCATATTACTAATGATTAAAGAAAAACAGTTTCGTCCAATAATTGGAATCACCTTTTGTTTTTTTTCTTGTTTTGTAACTCGGAAGGTAATGTTACTTTAGATGTATAATTGTTTGAAGATAATAAACCATTGTGGAATAATTTGCAGCGTTTTTAGTTTGGATTGATCCATTTATAACGTAATCACTGTCGCTCTCTTTTCTATCTTTATGATTATTATAGTAATATTATTTATGGAATTTCCGTGTATCCTCTGCGTTTTGTTAGATATTGGTGTTATACAGGGTGTTTCGTAAATACACGGCACTATTTTAGGAATGTGTTCACTAACACAAAATATATAAAAAAGTTCATATTAATATATATCTCAAACTCATTTACTAAACAGATATCAAAGGTTAAAGTGTTATTTATTTACTACATTAAGACTGACTCTACAAAGTTTAAAGTGTTTAATACTAAATAACAGGTTTTAATCACATGATAAACAAATGAACGATAAGCAATGACAGTAGCTGCTCATCTGTTTGTCTAGTTCTGTGTGTTTTAATGTGAGTGAATACTGTGATACAGTTAAATTTATGATTATCATGGGAGGCACCATAAATTTATTCACTTTTGCAGAACGAAGAGACATGCTTTTAACTTATGGCGAGGTACATAGAAACGGTGCTGTTGCTGTTCGAAGATATCGTGAAAAATTTCCCTAACTGAAGAATACCAAATCGTAAAACGTCTGAGGCCATCGAAAGACGCTTTAGGGATAATGACACGTTAAAACCTATACGACTAAACGCCAGTCGACAAAGATTTCGAAGATGAGCAAACGTTGAAGAAGAAATACTCGATGCTGCTCAGTTATCTCCTACTACTAGTACCAGAAGATTGTCACGTCGTTTCGGTGTTTCCTCTACCAGCGGATGGCGAACGAGAACAACAATTGTATCCATTTCACGCATCGAGTAGACAAGATTTGTTACAAGATTATGACCAGCGCAGAAATTTCTCCTAATGGTTAATTCGGCAATGCAAACGAGATCCTTAATTCCTGTACTGCATATTTTGGTTACTTATGAATCTTGCTTTACAAGAAACGGAATTCTTAATTTTAAAAATAAGCATACTTGGGCTGAAGAAAACCCTCATACGACTGCTGTTGGACATCACCAACATACCTTTTCTTTAAATGTCTGGTGTGATCTTCTAAGCAACAACATCATCGGTCTCTTCTTTTTGCCACCTAAGCTATCATGTATTTCTTATTTGCATTTTTGCAAAATAATATTCATGAACTCTCAGAAGATATTCCGCTAGGCATTAGGCAAAGACTGTGGTTTATGAACGACGGTGCTCCAGCTCACTTTTCTAATAGTGTCACTGATTATTTAAATTCAACTTATGGAGACCGATGGGTTGGTCGAAACGGACCTGTTAAATGGCCACCACGATCTCCAGATTTAAAGCCACTAGATTAGTTTGTGTGGGCTGGATGAAGCCTATGATTTATTATGCGGCAGTTGGGACGCAAGAAGAGCTAAGAAATCGGGTCGTGGAAGCCGCAGTAACTATCAAGCACCATCTTGATGCTACACGAAGAGCCAGAGAAGTATGGATTCGTAGTGCTGAATGTTGCATTCAACAAAACGGAGGCCCCTTTGAACAGTTGCTCTAAATATTGTAATAATAATTAATAAATCTTAAACATTTAATATCTGTTTAATAAATGAGTTTGAGATATATGTTAATATGAACTTTTTTGTTTACTTTGTGTTAGTGAACACATACCTAAAATAGTGGCGTACAGTTACGAAACACCCTGTATAACATCCATACCCAAAAAAACTCAGAAGGTACACGGAAATTCCATAAATAATATTACTATAATAAGCATAAAGATAAAAGAGATAGCGACAGCGATTACGTTATAAATGGAACAATCCAAACTAAAAAGCCATGATTCTTCAGGTATACAGTTAACCTGCCGTTTCGGCAATTCAGGCATCATCAACTTGTTATTAATGATTTATCATGTGCTCATCATCACTTATAATTATTAGTAAGAGATTTCATAAATTTATGGATATTATTTACAGACATATATTATAACTAACCACGGGGGGGGGGAGGGCTTTCGGGCTGAAGCCCCCCCAAAATGGTAAAACATAACCATGTTTTATAGAAAAAAAAGTTTAAAAATACCTCTTAAAGTATTATTGTTCGTGTAATTACAATTAAAAGGACATAATGAATCACTTAAACACCATTTCATATAGGTAGTTAGTTTCTTTCTGTTTTTTCAAAGTAATTATCGTAATTTTTTTGAAAAAAAAAGCTTCCGGGCTGAAGCCCCCCCCCCAAAATTAAATCCTGGATCCGCTATTGTCAGTCTCCAAACATACACGTTATGTTGGTAAGTTAAATAGTTAACGTTTCGCCAATTCAAGGATCATCAGGGCAGAAAACAAAGATCACTTATATGCAGAAAGAAAAAAAAAAAAAGAAAAAATAAACGAAAAAAAGTAAATTACTGTAGACAATTCATGAAGCCATCGAAATACATACTGAAAAAAGAGAAAGTCCTACTAACACAGCTGAGGAAGGTTATATTAAACAGCTGATTAGCAGAAATACAAGGGAAAAAAACTAAAATTAATTAAAATTACGTTGATAAGTTAAATATTCACTTGTATCTTGGAGACCCATGGCTTTCTAGTTGAGATTTCTGAGATGGTTTCCATTTATAAGATATATTTTTTTTTTTTATTTATGAAATTTACAACTGTACATTTAAAATACATTCAGCAAATGTAATATAGATAAATACATAACATGACAAGGCTTGTAGAGGATAAAATTTCTAAATTAGGAGATCACGAGGCCATCTTCTTTTCAGACGCCTGGGAGGGTTATCAGGGATCGAGGAGGTTAGGTTAGAAATGAGAGAATTAGGATGGTTCTGAAGTTTATTATTGACGGTATCTGGATTGGGACAAATCGGAAACATATATAACATTCAGGTCATTATGGATTATTTTTTTGTTACAAAGTAAGAAACATGAAAGATTTTACGAAGGATTTTGGATTGTAAAGATTGGATACGAGGGCAATTCGATGGTTTAGTGGAGCCCCAAAGCTCAACTTCGTAAGTCCAAATAGGTCTTATTATGGTCATGAATATGAGTCTTTTGTAATTCATTGAAAGGTTAGAGCGTTTGTCTATTAAATGCAGAAGTAATCGGAAACGTCGAGAGGTTTCTTGTCGTTTCAGTCTGGTATGAGGATTAAGATAATACTAATAATTAATAACAAGATATTTGCCAGGTTCATTATTACAAGTCTTGCATGAAGAAATCAGTTCGAGGAATGATTTGAACCGTTTTACAGCCTCCCTTTGCCTATTGTACTCAAGGAAGCAAAATTAGGAACAATAGAAAAGATACAGTGTCTATTTTAATGAAGCGATCGTAACATAAGAATAAAATAAAAAATAAAAATATGGCTAATTGTTCGGCTCTTCTAAAACTTAATCGATTCAGTTCATCGATAACAAATGATGAATCGTTGCCGAACTCTTTCCTCTTCGCCCGAGAGGACCCTGGCTTCCGTCCGCCCGACGCCGGGAGAACAATGTCCTCCCCCCGGCATTGTGGCCGAACCTTTGGAGATCCTCTATCGGCGGCAGACAATGGGCGAGCTAATTATTAGATATAGGCACCACAGCAGAGATCAATGAGGCTGTGGCGAAAGGATGGCATGCAGATGAGATGCAGGCGTGGGCGTTGAGTCCATTGCTCAAGGGACTAGTTCGCCAATGTACCAGCTTATATTATGTTTGTTATTTGAAAATTAGCAAGCGCTTATACCTCTAAGCTTGCAACGTTATACCTCTATGTCATTAATTGAATGAAATATGTTTTCTTCTTATTTTTACAACAAACAACCAAAATAAGAAATAAGAGGATGGGTACAAAGTACAGAAATAAAACTAAAAATAGCCAGATGTTGATTAGAGTATCAGTGATGTGTAACAACAAATAATTTTTAAAAAATGTGACAAATAATTAATTTTTGACAAATGGTGCCACATCAAAAAAATGAATGGTAAATAATTGTAAAATAGATAAATTGGAATGATATTGTTAAATTAACATTAATATAGAAAATATGCATAATTTCAGTAAAAATAAAAATATTGCTCTGATGATGGGAAAATTGTCCCGAAACGTAAGAGACAACAAGCATAAATAAAAAAAATATGAAGAAAATTGGAAGTTTTATTGCCTAAAATATGAAGAAATATGTTTTTTAAATAAGCAAATAAGTCAATTTCATTAGTCCCCAACTTTGTTGCCGTTATTATTAATTTCACAATTTCCTCTCTGTTACCGTTATTTTTACTCTCACTTAGCTTTTTTTTTTCTTTTTTTTTTTTGGATTCTCGCCTTTAAGGCTATACGGGGTTTTCCCGGACCAAAGGATGTGGGCAGGGATTTAAAAGACTCCCCATCACCGGGACGCGAACTCGTGACTACTTTAAATCCATTATATCATAGATCAGGTTGTCAGGCAACGGCGGTGCTGTGCACATACGTTAGCCCGATCGGCCACCCCGCCCCCACTTAGCTATATATGAAATTTATAGTAAAGGAAAGTATTGCGTTCATGTAAATTTTCGAATCTCAGTTTTCCTGAGTCCAAATAACCAAGCCTCGCAAAATGGTCTGTGCGTGTGAGTTAACAGTCTAGCTCAAAAACGAAAAGTCGTACGAAAGTGAAATTGCATATTTAAGGTTTATACAGAGCTTAAATGGCTAATTTTCAATATTAGCTTCGCCTTAAGTACCTTTATTTATTTTTTTTTTATTGAAACAATTGACCATTTCACATTAATCTCTAATATAAAATTACTAAGATAGTTAAATATACAATATGAAAGAATTTGATAATTAACTGAAGGAGAAATAAGAGATTTTAAAGGAGAATAGTTGTAATTGAGGAACCAAAGGAATAAGAGCGCATCCGAGCTCGCTTCCATACGTAACATGAGCTTGATATAATTCGGACTCCACAGACGGATCTACAGGGAGGAGCTTTCGGGTTGAAGCCTCCCCCCCCCCCTAAAATGGGAAAATATAACCATGTTTTTACAGAAAAAAAAGATTAAAAACTACCTCTTAAAGTATTCTTGTTAGTGTAATTATATTTAATAGGACTTCAAGAACCACTTAAACACCATTTCATATCAGTAGTTAATTTCTTTATTTTTTTTCTAATTAATTATTGTTAGACGTATATGAAAAAAAATCTTTCGGGCTGAAGCCCCCCCCCAAATTAAATCCTGGATCCGCTAGTGACGGACTCTGACAATATTATATAAATATACATATGTGGTTTCACAAATTCTATTGTTGGTATTATTTAATATTTAATTGTAGAGATTACAGCTATATAAATATTAAAATTTGTATACATAAGAGTACTTATATACATAAAAATACCCATAATGAAATATAAATAAATATAAGGTTTATAATTTTTATTTTATTCTCCCTTTGTCTGATAATGCTTATTTCTGCTGAGTGGGTGGTAAGTGAAAGTTGTGTGATGCGCGCACCACACCAGATTTTTTTTTCTCATGTTCCTTACTGAAGGCATAACATTTGGGCCGAACCGTCGACAAATATAACAATAAATATCATTTATTCATATTTAATTTGTTTCAGTCACTTTTCAATACTATGGTTTCATTAAAATATCGTAATCGCAAGTATTCTTATAGAAAAATACCAGTTGTTTAAGGTCAAATAGATGAGGCGTTGTGAATGAACTACGATGGCCTCAATATCTTGGAATATATTGCGCAAGATTCATTGTATTTAAATGAACAAAAATGTCAAAAGGACGAGAGGTTTCCTTCCTGAGGACGATGGTGGTTGATCGACAACGCAAACATGAGTAGTCAACAAAATGGCTCTGAAGAACCTCTTACGTTATGAGCAAGCAATATTTATG